TATCATTATGACCCTCTTTCTGAGCCACAGTAACCACTTCACTCACTGTTACACTGTCACTGCCGGAGTCCTGAGTGGTGGCGTGGCTGCTTGTTGCTTGAGCCTGCCTAAGTAAAGGTGACTCCTTTACCCACGCATTCGTCCGGTTCACTGGCACTGTTTGGGGCAGACTGTTTTGCTGTGCTCCCGGTGTCTGGGTAAGAGCTCTTGCTTGCTCTGTAACATTCACCGGCCGGAGAACACCCATGCTCGGCCTCTTGCTACACAGCCGAGCTGGCATTGTGAACATCTCCACAGTTGCAGCATCTGGGAACTATTTTCTCACCCAGATTAAGTCTGTTTCTACACACAGTAGAGGGGTGAGACTTTCCACAGAAACGACATCGTGGATCATTTTGACAGCTCCAGGATTTATGCCCCCATCTGCAGCATTTCAGGCATATTATGGGCTCTTCCACATACTTTGCTACATGCCTGTAGCCAGCCCCGGTGATGAACACTTTCTTGGGTACTTCACCTCTCACTAGAGCCACCACCTGACTCCTAGCTTCACCTTTAATAAGGTGACGCTTGGCCCACACAAATCGTTGGTCGTCGAGGATGAACTCGGGGTCCAGAATCTGAGGGTATTTATAGATAATTACCTTCGTCAGCTTCTCGTTCCCCTCCGGTATTTCCATAACAATTCCATCATATCCTTGCTGGCTAAGAAACATCACTGCCTCCATAGAACCTACCGTTAAGTAAGGTCTGTTTACACCTTCCTTCAGCAGGGGCTCGAACTTGCGGTGTTCTCTTCCGAGTGTGACGGTCCACAGCAGCTTCTGATGATAGGCCAGCGTGCATGAGGCAGGGAAGAGAAGCCTCCGTCTCCGCTGACCCTCACCTTCCTGACATCGTTCCGTCCGTTTGTCTGCATCAGTCTCGGCGTCGTTCTTCATTCTCTTGTCGTTTCCGTTAAGTGTATTACTGTCCACACTACGCCTTGCCTCCTGTCTCCTGCGTTTCTTCTTATTCCTTGTCAGAACTTCTAGATACTCGCCATCCTCGTCTGACTGGCTGCTTTCAGAGTCCATGTTAATATCGCCGTGGGAAGTAGCCATGTCTTCTGGTGACTGAGTCTCCATCTCAGTACCTAGCATGGGGGGAGGGGGGGGGGAAGGTGCGGAGCAGGTATCTTGACCCGACCGCGTCCCAGGTAAGACGCGTGAAAGGGAGGGAGTGATATATTGAATTGTGTGAAAGGGAGGGAGGGCTATATTTCCGTATGTGAAAGGGATGGAGGGCTATATAACCCTGTGTGAAAGGGAGTGGGGGCTATATTACCCCTGTGTGAAAGGGATGGAGGACTATATTACCCCTAAGTGAAATTGATGAATGACTATATTACCCTAAGTGAAAGGGATGGATGACTATATTACCCTAAGTGAAAGGGATGGATGACTATATTACCCTAAGTGAAAGAGTGGTAGGGATATATTACCATCTGTGAAAGAGAGGGAGGGCTATATTACTCTTGGGGACAGGGAGACGGAGCTATATTGGGACTTGGTAGTACAGTAGGGTTAGTTCTGAATTCACAGTCGGAAATTCTAGGTTCGAATGCAGGGCGGGACAGAAATGATTTTGTACATTTCCTTTCAACCAATGCCGCTGTTCGCCTAGAAGTAAATAGATACCCCGGGAGTTAGTCAACTATTGTGGGGTTGCATCCTGGGTAGAGTCAGTAGTTCCATCTTGTGGCACCTCGATAAAAGCCTAACCTATAAATTCACACAAGCTGACTCTTCCCAACAATTATATTGCCATCTGTGACAGTGACAGACGGCTATATTACTATTTTTGATACAGATGAATGACTATATTACCATCTGTGACAGGAATGGAAGGCTATGTTATAATCTGTGACAGGGACAGACGGCTATATTACCATTTTTGATAGAGATTGTCCACAACGCGGTGTCGTTATGGACACCGCGTTCGGTGGGCTAAGGGTCCATAATTACCTTGTTGGGGCCATTATGCTATATTACCATCTGTGACAGGAATGGAGGGCTATATTACCATCTGAAATAGAAACTGAGAGCCACATTACTTTCTGTAACGGCAACATAGAACTATAATTCCATGTGTGTGTGACACGGACGTATGGCTATATTATCATTTGTAACATGGGCGTACGGTTATATTATCATTTGTGACCTGGGCGTACGGCTATATTATCATCTGTGACATGGGCGTATGGCTATATTATCATCTGTGACATGGACATACGGCTATATTACCATCTGTGACAAGGACGTACGACTTTATTATCATCTATGACACGGACATATGGGTAATTATCACCAGTGACACGGACGCACGGTTATATTATAAGTGACACGGACATACGGCTATATTATCATCAGTGACAAGGACGTACGGTTATATTAACATCAGTGACAAGGACGTACGGCTATACTACCATCTGTGACACGGACGTACAGCTTTATTGTCATTTGTAACATGAACGTACGACTATATTATCATCAGTGACACGGACGTACGTCAATATTATCATCAGTGACACGGACGTACGTCAATATTATCATCAGTGACACGGACGTACGTCAATATTATCATCAGTGACACGGACGTACGGCTACTGTCGGAAATTTCCGACACTCCAAACATTAATTTAATTAAGCCTAGTACGATCAGGTAAATTTATTTTGCTAGACAATTAAATATACTAACCCCTACTAATTAGTAGCCTAGTACCACCAAATTCTCATTAGTATCGATGCTGGTATTGCATCAGTCGCTAGGCTCCTATGAGAATAAACTATGTATATCCATTAATCGAATTAAACCCAATCTAACCTTGTTGAATTAATTAAGGAATAAGAAATTGGAAATTGATTTAATTAAATTTAGTAAATTATATCGCTGTTTGTCGGTAAATTTTTCCATACCTACGATCAGCTGATCGAGTATCAACAAAAGTCATGAACTGAAGTCTACCTACGTATATATGTAATTTTATCGAACGTCACTTAATAATATACAAAACGGAAATTCATCTGTTGTTACCTAGAGTACGTTATTGTGACGTAAATTAACGTCGACAATGTCTCAATCAAGTGGGAAATCAGAATAAAATATTGTGAATTATATACCAAGTTTACACAATCCGGTGCAAGGTGGCGCGCGGATCACTTTCTGCCAGGAGGCTTGGCTAGGGGTTGAGGCCATCTTGATCAGTGTCCCAGAGCTGGTTATCATCATCGTCTGTTATATGGACCATCCGAGTATTATCGTACCTCAGACTTTGCTACCAGCTTCATCTTCGTTGTGGACACCGCGTTCGGTGGGCTAAAGGTCCATAATTACCTTGTTGGGGGCCATAATATTGTATTCTTTTGGGTGCCCAACCATTATGCTGGTTGAAGATAACAAAAAAAAAAAACACCAGTAGATGTGTGTTCCTTATCCAGTCAACTCCATTTTCATTGTGTATTTGTGGAAATACTCACAATTATATATTACTTATATGATATTAATTTTGCAGCGTGTAGTTATCTACGAGAGAAGCGTACCCCGTTCTGGTGAATCACGTGTCTGACAAGACAAAGCGTACACAGGATTAGACGGGTTACAGAGAGCTGTATGACGTATTCTACGTTCACAATTAGACATCTAAGATTTAATTTCAATAATAACACAGTAGATAGTGTACTAACCCCGTGATTGGAATTTATTACTGATTTTATTGTTGAAACAATTTTCATGTTTATGTAATAGGGAGTCTCAGCATTATTGATTCTACCCCCTAAAGATGTGTTCAGGAAACACTCCAAACAATATTTAGAAGTTTTATAGTCCACTTCTCTAATTTTCAATGTGAATAAATTATTTATTTATTGTTATATTAGATTAAATGCATAAAAAATTTCCCCAAAAACTATATTATCATCACTGACACGGACGTACGGCTATATTATCATTTGAGACAAGGATGTACGGCTATATTATCATCAGTGACACAGAACGTATTGCTAGATTATCATCAGTGATAATATAGCAATATATATTCTATTCTAGATAATATATATTGACAAGAACGGACGGCTATATTATCGCCAATGACAAGGACGGACGGCTATATTATCATCAGCGACACGGACGTACGGCTATAATACCGTCTGTGACCTTGACGTGCGGCTATATTATTATCTGTAACACGGACTTACGTCAATAATATCATCATTGACAAGGAAGTACGGTTATATTATCATCAGTAACAAGGACATACGGCTATATTATCATCAGTGACAGGAACCTATGGATATATTATCATTTGTGACACGAGCGTACGGTATATTATAATCTATGACACTTACGTACGGCTATATTATCACCAGTGACACGGACGTACTGCTATATTATAAACTGTGACAGGACGTACGGCTATACTATCATCAGTGAAACGGACGTACGGATTTATTATCAGCATTGACAAGGACGTACGGCTATATTATAATAAGTGACTCGGACTTACGGCTATATTACCGTCAGTGAAACGGACGTACGGCTATATTATCATTTGCGACACTGACAAACGGCTATATTATCGTATGTGACACGGTCGTTCAGCTATATTCACTTCAGTGACATCGACGTACTGCTATATTATCATATGTAAAACGGAAGTTCGGCTATATTATCAACAGTGACAGTGACGGAGGACTATATTACCATCTGTGACAGTGACGGAGGACTATATTACCATCTGTGACAGTGACGGAGGACTATATTACCATCTGTGACAGTGACGGAGGACTATATTACCATCTGTGACAGTGACGGAGGACTATATTACCATCTGTGACAGTGACGGAGGACTATATTACCATCTGTGACAGTGACGGAGGACTATATTACCATCTGTGACAGTGACGGAGGACTATATTACCATTTGTGACAGTGACGGAGAGCTATATTACCATCTGTGACAGGGACGGAGGCGGTGCACCAGCTGACGCAGCCCTCACCTCAGACAGTGCGTCTGGCCGCCACCAACAACCAGGATGATCACCGCTGGGCGCTCTGGTCCACCTTCAGCGTCGCCGGCGAGAATACCGGGTGAGTCTGGCTGAGTCTGATGTTACTGTTGCTGGTGCTGTTGTTACTGCTGCTGCAGTTGTTAATGTTACTGGTGCAGCTGTTGGTATTGTTACTGGTGCTGCTGTTTTTACTGTTGCTGGAGCTGCTGTTGTTACTGTTGCTGCTGTTGCTACTGTTGTTGGAGCTGCTGTTGTTGCTATTGTTGGAGCTGCTGTTGTTACTGTTGCTGCTGTTGTTACCGTTTTTGGAGCTGCTGTTATTACCGTTGTTGGAGCTGCTGTTGTTACTGTTGCTGGTTATGTTGTTGTTACTGTTGCTGGAGCTGTTGTTGTTACTATTGCTGCTGTTGTTACTGTTGTAGGTTCTGCTGTTTTTACGGTTACTGGAGCTGTTGTCGTTATTGTTACTGGTGCTGCTGTTGTTACTGTTGCTGGGGGCTGCTGATACTGTTGCTTGTGTTGCTGTTGTTACTATTACTGGTGCTTCTGTTGTTACTGTTACTGGTGCTTCTGTTGTTACTGTTACTAATGCTTCTGTTACTGTTGCTGGTGCTTCTGTTTTTAATGTTACTGGTGCTGCTGCTGTTACTATAGCTGGTGCTGCTGTTGTTATCTTTGCTGGTGTTGTTGTTGTTAATGTTGCGGCCCTTCTGTAGTTACTGTTCCCGTTGCTGCTGTTGTTACGTTTACTGGTGCTGTTGTTGCTACTGTTACTTGTGCTGTTCTTGTTACTGTTTCAGGTGCTGCAGGTGCAATGCTGCGAGCATTGACTCTTGGATCCCGCCTCTCTAGCCACCGGCTGTTCATAGCAGTGACTCCTGTCCTATTTCCCTACCATATTCTATTTTAATATTATGGACAGAGTTTGTGTCCACAACCTGCTCCTTAAGTTCATTTTATTTTGCCACGATTCTCACGCTAAAAGAAAACTTACTAAATTCTCGGTGACTTTTCTGAGTTCCCAGCCTCCACCTATGTCCCCGTATTCTGTTAGTATTCAGTGTGAACATTTCGTCTATTTCCACTCTGTCAATCCCCTGAGTATTTTATTTTTCGATCATATCTCCCCTTCTCCCTTTTTTTTCATTGCGTAGTCAGGTTCAGTTCCTTCGAGTGCTCTTCAAACCCATCCCCTCGTAACTCGGGGACGAGCCTCGTCGCAAACTTCTGAATCTTTTCCAGTTTCCTCACTCTTTGAGACTCTTCTTGGAAACTCTGGAAACAGAATTCACCCTTTCCCTGGGGGCCTGGGGGAGAACTGGGAGATGTTTGGGGGTCGAATGGGGTCTGGGAAGCTGAAGGGATCGAAAGGACATTATGGGTCTAAAAGTTAGGGCGGATCTGAAAGGCATAGGAGGCGGGTGGGGATTGAGAAATACAGTGAGGTTGAGTCAGAGGTTGAGAGGTGGGGGAGGAGAAAAGGGAGAATGGAATATGGGGGGGGGGGTGATGAGTGGGAGAGAGGTTGTATTAGTTAAGGGGGAATCATGGAATGTGTACTCACCTAATTGTGCTTGCGGGGGTTGAGCTCTGGCTCTTTGGTCCCGCCTCTCAACCGTCAATCAACAGGTGTACAGGTTCCTGAGCCTATTGAGGTTGTGGGAAAAACCTGCTGGGATTGATATAAGAGGAGACTACCAGGGACTTGTACTGAACTAAATTAAAAATTTACTGTCTGCAAATTAATTCAACTAAAATCTCTAGCTAGGGTTGTAAATCCTAGATCCTCTTTTCCTAATGACAGATTGTGGGCTGTAAGGGACAGGTGGGGTGAATGACTTAGTTGATAGAAGTTCCAGTCCACCTGTAGACAGGGATCTCACATCAGCTTGTATTTTATACAAGGATAAGATTTAATAAATTCAGTTATCTGACTGAACACTGGCTCTGTTTAAATCAGAGATTTAAACATACATAGTCTAACCTAGTACCATAACTTAACAGCCAATATGTACTTATACTATAAACAACAAATTAAATTGTAAAAGTATAATAAATGACCTTAAATGTAGTCTAAATACTGTTAAGTAACTACTAGAAATTATATTCAATTAAATGAACTTATATGATAACTTAAAAATAACTAAGCAAGCAATTGATAACTTTATTTATATATTCAAGAATATATGCAATGTATTTATTCACTTTATACAGTTAGCTTGACTGAATCTTTTCCAAAACTATGGACACTTGTGAGGTTTTTACTTATTGAGGCTGAATTATTTTCTGACACAATGGACACTCATGAGGTTCAGTGCTTGGATAAGATTCACAGCTACACTACAATTTTAATAAACTTACTGATATGTGAGGCTTAGCCTCGCTTTTTAACCAACAGACAGATTTATAGGATATTAAAGCTACACAAGCATACAATTGGCCAATCATATACCAAATAACCTTCAATATACTTCTCTGCCAGTCGGGGTGCCTGTCTGACAAGTTTGCCAGACTGATTAACTCTCTCTTGTTGAGTTTAGGCACGATATTTTGCTACAGCGTTGCTGTATGATGATCTGGTAGCGTTGCTACTTGGATTTTTCTTTAACTGCGTTGCAGAAGAATGATATTTGATAAAGAATAGGAATGAAGGTGGTGGAAACTGCGTCACTGTGATCTCCACTACACTCTTATTTTTATAAATGTTCTAGGATTTTCCTTGTAGATATTGTCCAGGTACTCCCCCAGTTCTAGAGAGTATTCACTGGCGATAAAAAATATTAGATAAGGTGTCCTTGAGCTGGTAACGTTCGCTAAGGATCAGTCACTTGTTCACTCATTTGTAAACAAACGCAGAGTGCCGCTGGGCTTTGTTGGTGGGCGCTTCACTCCCCCCATCGCCCTGCCATGCTCTCTGTGCACGGTAGCCTTCTATGAATATTGATTGATTATTTTTACAGTCTAGACTTATGATTAAGATAAGATGTGATTATAATATAATTAGATATAAGATTTAAAGATTATAAGTAGTATTTGAAAGTACCACTGAATCTTATTAAGGATTCGATATTATCCCTACCGGATGTTGAATAAATGTTCCAATAGTTTTTTAATTAACAAATCCTTCTAGAAGCTTCTGGATCCTTGAGAGATCATGTACAAAGTCACATAGGCATCAAAAGGGCCCCTGTTGCGTACGTGTTCATGGTGCCATTGTCATCCAGGATCAAGCTATAAAATGAATCTTTAATGATTCTAATATGATTTTGATACGATTTAGATATGATTTTGATATGATTTAGATATGATATAGAAATTATACATTTCTTAGATGATTATTAGATATGGTGGGTAAAAATTTCCCACAGAGGTCTTCCATATCTACACTTGAAACTGTGTATGGAGTCAGCTTCCACCACATCACTTCCTAATGCATTCCATTTGTCAACCACTCTGACACTAAAAAAGTTCTTTCTCTGTGGCTCATTTGAGCACTCAGTTTCCACCTGAGTCCCCTAGTGCGTGTGCCCCTTGTGTTAAATAGCCTGTCTTTATCTACCCTGTCGATTCCCTTCAGAATCTTGAATGTGGTGATCATGTCCCTACTAACTCTTCTGTCTTCCAACGAAGTGAGGTTTAATTCCCGTAGTCTCTCCACGTAGCTCATACCTCTCAGCTCGGGTACTAGTCTGGTGGCAAACCTTTGAACCTTTTCCAGTTTAGTCTTATGCTTGACTAGATATGGACTCCATGCTGGAGCCGCATACTTCAGGATTGGTCTGACATATGTGGTATATAATGTTCTGAAAGATTCCTTACACAAGTTTCTAAAGGCCGTTCTTATGTTAGCCAACCTGGCATATGCCGCTGATGTTATCCTCTTGATATGAGCTTCAGGTGATAGGTCTGGCATCATATCAACCCCCAGGTCTTTCTCTCTCTCTCTCTGACTCTTAAAGTATTTCATCTCCCAAATTATACCTTGTATCTGGTCTCCTGCTTCCTACCCCTATCTTCATAACATTACATTTGCTTGGGTTAAACTATAACAACCATTTGATCGACCATTCCTGCAGCTTGTCCAGGTCCTCTTGAAGCCTCAAGCTGTCCTCCTCTGTCATAATCCTTCTCATAATTTTGGCGTCGTCAGCAAACATTCAGAGGAATGAGTCTATACCCTCTGGGAGATCATTTATGTATATCAGAAACAGGATAAGTCCGATTACAGAGCCCCGTGGGACTCCACTAGTGACTTCACGCCTATCTGAGGTCTTACCCCTCACTCTAACTCTCTGCTTCCTATTGCTTAGGAAGCTTATCCACTGGAGCGCCTTACCAGTTACTCCTTCTTGTTTCTCCAGCTTATGCATCAGCCTTTTATGGGGTACTGAGTCAAAGGCTTTCCGACAGTCAAAAAAATGCAGTCTACCCATCCTTCTCTTTCTTGCTTAATCTTTGTCACCTGATCGAAGAATTCTATTAAGCCTCTAAGGCAAGATTTACCCTCCCTGAACCCATGTTGATGGATTGTCACAAAGTCTCTTCTCTCCAGATGTGTTACTATCTTTTTCTCACAATCTTTTCCATCACCTTGCATAGTATACAAGTTAAGGACACTGGCCTGTAGCTCAGTGCCTCTTGTTTGTCACCTTTTTGTATATTGGGACTATATTAGCCCAACCTGTCCTCTTAAAAATAACGTCACTTTTGGATTGTATGCGCGCTATGGCCAAATTTGGACGTAATTTGAAATGAAATCGACTCACAAAAGTGACGTCCTGTTCCGTTTTCTATTTGAGTCGTTCGGTGTACGTGCAGAGGTTATGAGAGGACACTTTGAATTAACGTTTTTCATAACGTTATGAAACTTTATGAGAATTTTCTGCCCACCTAACCTATCAGAGGACCCTTAACTTACAGTTGTTGAAAAAAAAATCCCAAATTTATTTTCATTTTTTTCATTTTCAAATTACGTCCAAATTCGGCCATACGGGCAAACGGCCAAAAGCGACGTTCTTTTTAAGAGGACAGGTTGATTAGCCGTCTTACATATATCTGATAGGTCTCCTGTTTCCAGTG